TACATTGGTTATGATTCAATCATCACTTGAAGAGTGTGTTAAAGATCAGGTTCATCAACAATTTGTGCATTGTATACCAATGTGAGGATAGTAATGTTTGAAAGTTGGGATAGCTGTTGTGTTTGTAAGAGATTGAGGGTGTTCATCTCCATTTTTTCTATTTTGATTTTGAGTGGTGAGAGGAGTGCAATTGAAGGTTGTCATTGTATTCTTGTATAGTTAATCATTATAGTGAAGTTCCTTCAACTAAGGTTGTTGAAGGAGGACTGGATGTAGGCTTGTGATAGTCGAACCAGTATAGATTGTTGTGTCTTGATCTTTTTCTCCTTTTCTTTATCTTTGTTGATTAATTTGCCTTTGATTATTGATTTCAAGTTTCAAGAATTCATAAAGAATTCAAAAAGGGTTAAAACCAAGTCACTCCCCCTCTTGGTTTGAGATATAAGGCTTATCTTTTTTAACAATTGGCACTTGAGCTAGGAATATTAAATTTAATGAAAAATTTTAAGCGATTATATTCATAGGTTAATCGGTTAAATTGATCTTGAATGCCTTTATATCTCAAACCTTTGGAGAAGGTGCATCTACAAATAGACCACAACTATTTGCAGGTGAGAATTACGCCTTTTGGAAGATTATAATGAAAATTTTCTTGGAATTGGTAGACAAAGGAGTATGGGCTGCCGTAATAAATGATCCCTTTGAACCAACCAAAGTGGAGAATGGAAAAATCAAGATTACAGACTTTTCTGAATGGAATGCTGATGAGAATAAAATATCTAATTATGATGTTAGAGCTAAAAACATTATTAGTTTTATAGAATCTCCCTGTGTGCAAAGGCTAAAGAGATGTGGGATGTGTTAGAGGTAACACATGAAGGCATAGATGAGGTGAAGAGAGCAAGGAAGAATTATTTAATCCAAGAATACGAAATGTTTAGGATGAAGAGTGGTGAGACAATATATCATGTGCAAAAGAGGTTCACTCACATTGTATCTTCTTTCTCTTGGGAAGACATTTGATAAAGAAGAGATAAATATCAAGATTTTAACGAGTTTGAATAGAAACTGGCAGCCAAAGGTCAATGCAATATCTGAATCAAGAGATTTGACTACAATGAATATTGCCACTCTATTTAGAAAATTGAGAGAACATGAGCTTGAATTAGGATATTGAAAGAAGAGGAAGAAGAAGAGAAAAAAACATATAATTGCGCTCAAGACAGGATCCAAAACTAGCTCATGGAGATATGATGCAGAAGATGATTCTGAAACTGAAAAATCAGATCTTGAAGCAATGAACTTTATGGTAAAAAAAGTTATCCAAATTCATGAAGTTCAAAAGCAAACTAATTCTGTTTTGCAGGTAATGCAAGGACAAACAAAAGGAAAGGAAAAACTATTATTGCTCCAACATGATATCAATATGATAAAATTGGACACATCAAGTCTAACTGTCCAATGACAAAAATGAAGCAAAAATTGCAAGAGAAGAGAAACCATGACAGCAAAAATCATAAGAAGAAATAAGCTTACATAGCCCGGGAAGATAGTGCTTCAAGTTCCCCATCAAGTGATTCAGATGAGAGTCTTGAAGAGGAAACCAATCTGTATTTGATGGTAGGTTTAACATGTTCTGAAACTAGTGCTAGTAGTTTTGAGGATGAATCCATTGAAGACATGTATTATCAACTACTTGATGCCTTTCAAGAATTACATGGTGAAGCTATGAAAATGTAGTACTAAGTAAATAGGTTTAAGAGTGAAAAGAGATGCCTAGAAGATAAAATAGAAAATGTGCATAAAGAAAATGAAAGCTTAAAATCTGAACTTGAAAGCTTGAAAAATACAACGAGGTAAAGCACAAAACAAAATAAAATAAGTGTTCAGTAGTGTGAAAATTGTCCAACACAGCTAGAGAGAATCAAGTACCTAATAAGCACACCATCAAAATTCACTTTAGGTAGTTATAATCTTGAAGCCTTGTTAGGATCATAAAGGAGTATACATAATAAGCAAGGAATAGGCTATATAGGGAAGAGAATTAAAATGAATGCTAGGAAGTTCACTCATATTAGCAAACCTTCATCTACAACTTGTTTTTATTGCAATCATATTGGTCATACATCAAAATCATGCTATTATAAGAATGTTAGAGTGCCTAAGGGAAAACTCAAGTGAATTCCTAAGGAATCACCACAACAGACTAACATCAAAGGCCCCAAATTTATTTGGGTACCTGCACCAAACCATTTAATTGTTTTACAGGTAACTAAGATGATTTGGAAATGGATTTTCTCAATGAAAAGCACAAAGTTGAACTAGGTGTCACATTTCAAGTGCTCATAACCCCTTGAAAATAACAAACTTGATAACAGGTTGTGGTACTGATAAAACATGCATAATTTGTGTTCTGCATAAACATCTTGATTTGTGTAATGTGTGTTTGTTGCTTGACATCAAGAGGTTGTGTGAAAATATGCAAAATAACAATTTTTGCGAGTTTTAATAGATTATATAAGTAGTCTAATAGATTAGGTTGTTCTCTCTGTTTACTGAAATTGTGTCTATTACGCTAAAATGATGATTAATTAAATCTGCTAGAGAGTGGGTTTTTCACTTTCAAATGGGCTTCCCTCTTCTCTTAATCAATTAGGAAGAAACCCTAATCTGTTAAATTGCTCGTCTCTCTTTGTTTCTTCAAATCGCCAAAACCTCCTCCAACCTTCACCTCTCCTCTAATCTCTCTATCACGTCCTCTACTCCACTTGCTTACATGACATCCAAGCTAAAGCGCATCAAGAGAGCATCACAGAAGGCTCACTTTGCCACTCCGGATGGGTGGATCAATGATGATGAAGTTCAAACTAATTTCATAAGCTTATGGAGAACAAGGAAAATCATTCCCCATAAATATCTTAACCTCAACTTATTCCGTAAAGAAGGATTTATTTTTGAAGACTGACTGGAACATTAGGATTTGAAGACATTTGTTGAGCTTACTAGAACATGGTACCATGATCTAGTAAGGGTTTTCTATGCAAATTTGAAAATAAGGGATGATACACTCTGTTCCAAGGTTAAAGGAGTGGATATCAAACTTGATGAAAATGTGTGGGCTTTAATTGTCGGATTTCACCCAGGGGGTGATGACAAATTTATGAACACCGAACAACGGCGCCAAAAACTTGTTTAACAATTGGCAAGTGTGACCGAATCGTATCAAGTAATAAAACAAGGTAAGACCAAGTATCGTTTTCCCAAAGGACTCACGTCCTAGTTTAGCTATGTGATTTGTTGATTATTTAAGACTTAAGAACAAATTGATTGTAGATTTAAATGCAAGAGACAGTAATTAAATATGTATGCATGAATTTGATCAATGGAGAAAAACAGAATACAAACACTTCAATGAATTAGATGGATGAGTATGTTGTTGGGGTTATCAATTTCATCTTATCCACTCTCATATACTTTTAGGAATTCATCATTCTTATCATCAATGCTAATGCCACTCTCTAAATCACCTTGCAAGAAGGCCTATCCTTAATTACGAGTTCATACAATTCCTAGCATTCCTAGTAATTAGTTCTTAAAGTGCAGGAGCTTAAAGGCAACCAATATGCTATTGGTAGAAATTCCCCGGATCTAGACTTCCCCGTATGTTCCCGTATCGACAAAATCAATAATCATGGCAATGAATGAGTTAAACAAAGCAATCAATAAGCAAAGAGGAAAAACCCTAACTAAAGATGAAAGAAAGCATATATCTTAATATAAGACATTAAAACAAATTCCATATATGAGAGTTTCACAAGACTACATTGACTCCCCAACAACAATACAAGGTTTAGTTCACCATATTCATGGTGAAACTAGATGAACAATAATGAAAGAATGAAAGATAAAACCCTAGAAAGAGAAGGGGAGAGCCGTCACCATCTCCCAATCTACCCTCAAGGGGTGGAAAGTGTGTTTATGCTTCCTCCCTGCCAAAGATACAAACCCTAGGACGTCCTAAAGCTTATATACTATTCTAAAAATACAGAAAATTAGGCCCAAGCCCAAAAATAGTGCCGCTCAGCAGTAAACTACCGCTCAGCGGTAAGTGCGTGAGTTGTTTTTTTCCCCTCAGCGGCCTTTTCACCCCTCAACGGATCCAACGTGACTGCCTGAGTGCCGCTCAGCGGTAAACTGCCGCTGAGCGGCAGTTGCGGCTTCTCCTTTTGCACTTTTTGATGTCTTTTCTGATTCCATCTCTGTCCTTCTTCACTTCTTTCACCAAATTCACCCTAAAACCTGCACAAAAACACTGAAATCAAGCATAAACCTGTTTAGCTCTCTTATTTCTAAAAATATGACCAAAAGCATGATTTCAAGCTAGTTTCTAAGTGTTAAAGGTTGCTTTTAGTATCAATTTTAAGCATGAAAATAACAGTTTTTCAACTGTTATCAGGGGGTGAAAAGACTCACTTAAGTATTGAAGGGTTACACAAATTCTCTATCTATTAGGCACGCCTAAGAAATCTTAGACAACCTCGTTATTATTCTTTATATAGAATTAGGGTTACGAAGCCTGATGATAAATAAAAACAAAAAGATAGAAAGATAAACAAAAAAGATAAAAAGAACAAAAAAAATAAAAAGATAAAAATCAAGTCAAAGTCAATCAATAATCACACAAATAGAATAGTTAAACTACGAGTCCCTGGCAACGGCGCCAAAAACTTGTTAATCCTCGGCAAGTCACTACAAGAAAATTGCGTTTTACATACCGATTATTATATACGGATTTGAATCCATATATAATAAAAATGTTACATACAGATATTATATATGAATTCGTTATATACAGATATTATATACGGATTCGTTATATACAGATTTTATATACGGATTTATAATTAATTAATAAATAAATAAAATTAAGTTATTTTAGAATGCATACAGAAAAAGTCGCCAACCCTTTCTTTTTATCCTCACTCGCGCTGCAACCATTTCTTGCTTGGAAAAAGGGTCGAGCCACTCAGCCTCCTTCAATCCCACCAACAAACCTATTCTTCTTTCTCTTTCACTTCAACCCTTCCTAAATCAGTGTTCTGGTCGTGGTTCTCTCTCGTCGAGCCCTCCTTCCCCTTCTGTGGAGCCTCGGTTCTCTTTCGTTGTGCTTTCGTAGGTCGCGCATTGAAACCCTAATTTTCCCTCATTCGAACCATCATTGTGCGGCCTTGGTACCATGGTTAATTGGTAAGTAATGTTTAATTCTAATTGAGCTAAATTTTTGAATTGCAAAAACCCTAATTCTCTTTTTCTCTCATCCATTTTCGATTTATGCAATTCCTCGCGCGATAAGGTTCTATTTCTTCCCCGCAAAGCTATTTTGCACGAATTTCTTTTTTCTACATTTATTTCCTCTTGTTAATCACCCAAGATTTAAAGCTTTTGTTGCACTAAAAAACAGATACTTTTCGTGCTTGCGTTTTGATTTCCGCAATGGCCTCCAAAGGTCCTAGATCGAAGATTGATCATGAGAGTAGAGGCAAACTGCAAAAGGTTAGTTCGCGTGTTCATCTTCTTGATAGTCGTCTCTCGGCTTTTTAATTTGTTT